CTTTTACGATTTGTACTTATCCGACATTAAGAATGTATGTAAAGACTGAAAAGTCATTTCGCGAAATAAAAAAATAAAAAAAAGGGGAAGAAAAGCAAGAAAAAAAGAGCACAGAGTGTAAATGAGCAATTAGTATAGAGAGTACATCACATGATCATTACTTCAATGAAAGAAATTCTTTTCTTGCATTCATCGTGAGATGCCTTTAGAAGAAAAATCGAAGAAAATGAAATGAAACAAAAGTCAGTTTGACGTTCGAATAAAGTTGTGATGATGCATTTATTGGCGGGGCAAGAGGCGCTTGTGAGCTTTAATGGAGATATGATTTAATATCTCAAAACTCTGACGTTGATGTAATGATATTCAAGGTTACGGTGGTTTCTCAGAAAGCCTCAGAAAAATAAGCATACAGCTACCCTTTTCTCAGACACTGCCTACTATAGGGGATCCTTAGAAACAACTGGCTCCTGTTCAATGCTACAGTTCCTGTTTATATTTCCTTGCTAAGCTTGTTTTGTGTACCAAAGATTAAAAAGAGTTTACATAAATGTCAATAGATATGCAGACATGAAAAACTGAACACCCCCAAAAATATCATTTCTAAAACCTTGAACTTCTTGCTGATGAGATGGACTTAATTAGCTGTCATGAAATATTGCAGATTTTAATCTCACATGCCATCATGTATCTTTCAATAAATGACTCAAAGTATCAGAAAATAGACAGCCAGATAAATCATCAGACAAAAATATGAAAGCAACCGAGACAAGTTGATAAAGTGCGCTCCGAAAACAGAAATGAGATTGTCTTTTATTTTCAGTCAAAGAAGAGCATTCGTGAAAAAGCCATTTGCGCGACGATACGATCATTTCAGTTTTTATTTTATTTTTCTTAAAGATTTTTCCAAAAGAAAAAAAATTTTGTAGTATACAAATATATAATTTATCGTGTTCTCTCGAGTCCGTCCCGTACAAAAAAAAAGAAGAAAGAAAACTTTTCTGATTTCTCCGTCATAATTTTTTTTACATAATCGCTTGTGTTTTTTTTTTACTTCGAAATTCTAATTTTAAACCACCAAAGTGATTGAAAATTTGCATTTTTGAAAGAATTTGAAAAATGAAGAACCAAAAAACCAAAATAGTGTGAAAGTAAAAGGAATTTTGTAAAAAAGTCTAAGCGACGTACGTCGTCCAAGGTGAGAGGCGAAGAGATGCGAAAAATGTATGAAGAAGAACTTGAAATTTTTTTTTCATTCATGACCACAATTTGTACGACAAAAAGTCAGTTGCGTGTACGCAAAAGAAAAATTAAGAGTAAGAAGATGTAAAAAAAAAGGCTGAAAAAAATAATTTTCACGATCGACAGTCAAAAAGAATGAAGAACGTCCCTTTCCCATGGTTGTCTTCTCACGCAATATTTTTTTTTTTCATCTGTGCGATACCAATACCACCCCAAACAGACACAGAGATACGATCAGATACAGGAGAGAAAGCGCATTCAGAAGAAATAAGAAAATATTTATTCTCTCTCACTCACTCAAATCCACATCTCATTACTGCTTGTTGCTTGTTGTGTGTTTATTTTTAAGTATAAAAATATATAGCATGAAGCAGAGAAGAAAAATAAATGAAAAACATCGCTAGAAAGATGATGAAAAATAACAAGAAAAAGAATAACCGCAATTTTAAGCTAAAAATAGAGTTCGCGACGTTTCTGTCCGTCTGAAATAGTTTTTTTTTTTTCATTCTTTTTTCATATATATTTGGACCTTTTTCTGATGAGATATAAAAGCAACAAACAGCATGTTAGAGATTGAGATACTTATGGGATTATTTATTTATGATGTCTGTCAATTGATTAGAAGTGACATGAAGAGGCTTGGTGGTGTAGTGGATTTGAAGTTTGGGAAATGGTATAGCTATCCTTGGTTCGAGACCCAAGTGAACAGTTTTCTACTTTTTCGAGATATAATCCTTTTAAATTATGAGGAATTCATTAATATTCTGTTTTGATTTTTCAAGGAAGCGAGTCGGTCTAGCCAAACAAATTTCACTACGACTCTGTTTCCATCAAGGATTTAAGGACCAAGTTTCAATGTTTGTAAAAGACGTCATAAGTAAATAAACCCCAAGCATTGATAAGGCAAAAATATTATTTTATGATGAGGTACGAAACCGTGAATTTTCCATGAAGAATATCGTCCAATATGGATTAGAGATAATTAACACCTCGACAACTATTTTCGCACATTAATATTCAGACGAAATTCCGATTAACCGTCATTTTTTCATTAACATGATCTTCATAAATATGCTTGCATCTTATTTACTTATATAATTGAGTCGCATTTTGTTTATAATCAAATATTTTTGTATCATTTCGTCTCGCCTTGTGAAAGTTTTTCTTTTATCATGTCCTATGTTGTGATAATTGGTATAATTTAAATCTATTTAAGATTGTTTGATTGATTAGAGCCGAACGGTGTCGTTTTTTAATTATGTATAAATTTTATGAGTACCTAAAGTTCAGCTCAAATCCTATTGTAATTATAATAAACTTTAAAAAATATATATTTTGCAATTTTTTGATCAAAAACTCAAATTTTAAACATTTTATTTTTGATAATAAAGAATTTAATGTGGCATAATTAAAATACTTGGGAACATACTGCTTATAAACCTCTTTAACATTATCCTAGTCAGACTTGACGAGTCACAATACAAAGATAACTTAACTTAACTTAATATACCTCAAATTGTTTAAAATAATTTCATAATTTTATTTTAAAAAAAAATCATGAACAACCCCTAATGATAAAACCTATTTTAATCCTGAATGCCATATGATTATGAAAAGAAAAATTTACATAAATATCGGGGAAATCCGGCAATATTGCTCTCTTTAAATTTTGCTACCTGTAGTTTGCCTATAGAAGTTTTGCGAGACTTTCAGCAAATATAATTAAAAATGTGTTATGATAATGTAAATAATTCTCCAACCAATACAAGTTCAGATTTGATATTTACATGATTTATCCAATTTTTTAAACTTCTACCAAACATATTTGAATTTTTGTAATTTTCAAAAATTTTAAATTAATTAAGTTTCTTCACAAAAAAAATCAATTGTTAAAAATCAAAAAATTCAAATTCCAGTAACAGAGACAATTCTAAAGCGAAGAAAAGTCAGGATAGAAAGGAGCTATATCAACCAACTTTAAAAAAGTAATAACATTTGTTAAAAGACTGAAATAATTTCTGAAATGCCATAAAGCTTAAGCTGAGAATAAGTAAAATATCACAAGAATTAGTCATAATGCCATCAAGATTTCATATGCCAATAAATTTTAAGGAAAACATTTGATAGTAAAAAAATTTTTCACCATACCTTTTGCATTAAAATAGACATGGCTAGACGTCGTTTTCCTAGAAAAATTTACGAGCTGTGTTAAAGTTTTCAAAAATTTCTTTAAAAATCATAATTTAATCCCGAAAATTAAACGTATTATAATCCATGTTATTCATATTATATGTCTTCATAAAAAAAATATATTCAAGGCTGATCATCCTTTCAGTCAAAAATATATAAAACAATTTTTTTTAACAATCTTGCATCATGCATTCATGAATCTTTTTACTTTTTTCGCAAAACAACAGCTAAAAAAATCTTTTTTATCGTCCGCACTCATTTTTAAAAAATTATTAAATAAAAAATTGAAAATGACAGAAAATGAAAATGAAAATGTTTTTCCTTTAAACATTCAGCCATAATAATTGTCCATTGAGACTGTCGCGAGCAGTTTATTGTGAGAAAGAAAAGATCATCAAAAAGTATTTTTTATTGCAGACAACATAAGAAATCGCGACGATTGCGAGCAAAGTGAAAATGCTCATTTTTTTCATGAAAACGAATCAAAAAATAAATAAAAAAGAAGAAGAAATGAAAAATTGCGAATCTCGAGGTGTTGTCGTCGTCGTCGTCTGAGAAGAGTTTCAGTGCGATTTTTGTCATTTACGACTGTATATCGAAGATTAGTAGTGTGTAGATTTTTATTTTATTTTGTACGCTCGAGTTGCAATTCCGAAAAAGAAAATTTTTTTTTATTGAAAACGAAATTCCGTCCCCATATCGATATATATGTGCCAGTGTGTGTCAATGTGCATGCAATTTATCTGGAAATTTTATTAGGAAAAACCTAGAGTCGCGAGGTAGCAAAATAAAAACAGATCAAATATTATCTTAACTCCAACATATGTGTATGAGTGGAAATTCCCAAAAGGACGAGAACTACGAAAAAGTGAGTAATGGGAGCATAGGATCTATAAAATAGTTTAAATTCAATTCTAATGAAAATTCTCTCACTCTCTCGAGACACTCTCTTGAATTTATTTTTTTCATCAAATCGCAATTTTTTGCATACATGCATGCTCACGAGTGTGTGTGTAGACATTAGATTTTATTTTCTGAAAGCTCTCTAAAATATGCGCTTCATCTTCTTCTTTTTTCCTTCCTTTTCATCATGATTCTTAGTGAGAAGAACTTTTTTTTTAAATTTTTTTTTTATTCACATCACATAACAATACATACACACTCATACAAGTGCATTCAGTGTATGATCAAACAGAGCGGAGCAGAAAAAAAAAGCCGAAGATGCGTATTTCTCAAATACACATACACATGTGACTGATCGTATATTACAAAGACACCATGAAAGAGAGTCTCACTTGTACTGAGTATAGAAAAAAATAAAATAAGCAAGACTTTTTGCTACAACTTTGCCTCACAGTATTTCATTCTTTAAAAATTAGCCGTGAAATAAGCACCGTAGTTGCGCGCGCGCCTTTTAATTATTATTAAAAAAAATTTATTTTCGAAGATATTTTATTTTGATTTGAACATTTTATTTAAAGGACTTGAATTTTGTGGTCGGTGTTGAATTTTGCAACAGCAAAAAAAAACGAGAATTCCGAAATTGCATATTTAATTTTGTGTCTTATTTGCGAGTCTTGCGGACTTTTTTTTTCTTTTCCGCATTGAGTATAAAAATCTATATAGTGTGTGCATACAATATATAAAAAAAAAATAGTGTGAAGATCGTCAGTTTACATTAAAAATAGTTTTTCATATTTCTTTTCTCTTTTTGTAACCCCCGTCGTGTGTCGACTTCAGGAAAAATCGACAACGATTCTGTGAAAAGTTGCAGTTGCAGCAAAAAAGGAATAAGAGAAGGAAAAGAAAAAAAGGGTTAATTTAATTGCAGTTTGGGGTGAATAAAAAAAATTATTTGTCGCTCAAAAAAAAATAAGTAAAGTAAATAAAATAAGTGCAACAACACAAATGTGTATAAGTTTAATTGATAAAATGAAAGTTACATAAAACAAGAAGTTTAAATAGCCCCAGCAAAACCGAAGCAAATATCCATAAAGGAGAGAAACAGCAACAAAAAAAGAGCTTAAAACTTGCTTTCTTGTGCGCATATTTTGCACATTTTTATTGCAATTTACAATTTGCAGTTGTGTATTTTTTTTCCTGCATTAATCACTTGCAATATTTATCATCATCATTTGTGTATTACATACCGTATAAATATAATTTTGAGAGTGTCTACCTCACAATTGAGTGAATGAGTGACAATGATGATTTACAAGTCAAAATCATTGCATTATAATCTGATAAATATGATACATGAACACAACAAGTATCTGATTAGTCCATTTGACAGCAAATAAGTACTGAAGAACCATCAAAAAAAAATCGTAGTGACCAAAAATCTTACAAACAAGTGATCCAAAAAAAATATAAAAATTCAGCCGCAGGCAAGAATAAAAAAAATATCATATCTAATCACAAATATATATTAAAGGAAAACACAAACATTGCCTGAGATAAAAAATAAAAAAATATCAAGTGAGAAGTGTGACAATTCAGTGAAAATAAACTTTCAAAGTTCCTCACAGTATTTCCAATAAAATAAAAGTCGAATTTCAAATTAAGTGCAAATTAAATAAGTGATAGAAAAGATGGCAAGCTTAACAAGACCATTCACAATGCTCCTCATGCTCTTTATCATAGGATTAGCAACATGTGCAAGATCAAAATCACCATTGCTCGTTGAAGATGAAGGCAATCGACGAAATAGACCAGCAGGTAAGTTTATCTCAATATATAAAATCTAAAGCTGATATAAAAAGAAGAATCAGCAACAATAAAAAGCGCACAGTTCTTAGATGATGTTTCTTCATTCGATGGAAACGACGTCGCTCGACGAAGATGATTCTTATATTTGCAATGGTCAATAAAAAAATTCATGTCTCTCGCTCACCACATTCGCTAATCAGTAAATCTCCTTTCATATATACATAATATTCTAATGGTAAAGCCCAAATGAATGTGTATATACAAATAGCCATCGCAGCAGCAACAGCACTACATTGATTTCATAAAAAACAGAGTCTGTGATCAGCCAAAAACCGGCTGTGTTTTTTTCTGCTGCTTTTGTTTTGCCTTTTTTCCGTGGGAAATTTTTTTTTTCAACCCATGAAGAGAGCGAGAAGAAGAAAACAAAACTCTTCCGAATTTTGAATGAAGTCTAAGACAGAAATATGAATGATCTTTTTTGCGATTACTGCTCTGTGCTTGTTTGCTTCAACAAGGATTTTTTTTTCTCATGCAAAAAAAAAACTTCAGATAAAAATCTTCTTAGCTTATTTGAATGATTTTCATTTATTGCGTTCTTGAATGAATATCTTTGCTAGTAGAAATGTCACGGTTGGTCAATGGCTAGAGTGTATTTTGGACTTTGTTAAACAGAAATGTTGGTTTCATATTGAAACAATGAAACGGATATTTAAAATTTGAATTCTTTGATCTTCATTTTTAAATTTTTTTTCTCACTTCAAAAAGTATTTTTGAGTTTATTCTTGCTACAGATCAGTAAAATCGATAGAATATTGAAGTCTACAAAGAAAAAAGTGGCTAGAAGAGATTTGAATGTTAAAACCATAGCTTTAATTCCATAATTCGTAAATTAAACTTCTCAAAATTTAAATTTTTGATTTATTCACCTCTGCCAACCAAAACGAGCCTCCAAACTTCGTTTTTCATCAAAAGTGCATCAAAACTCATTTGTATCTTTTTAATAGCCGATGCACGATATTGCCATTTTACGCGCTTGCTTCTTTTAATACCAATTTGACGACAATCACTTGAATTCATTGAAATTTATATCTATCTATCTTTATATATATAGTCATATGAAAAAAAAAGAGCTGAAGATTGAGGCCAATTCATATGCATGTATGTTAAATATATTACGTTTTTCCCACACTATAATATGTTATACTAAAAAGAGAGATGATAAATCGAAAAAGATAGATCAATAATTGAACAGCCAAAACGGCAAAGAAAAAGAGTTTTTGTTAGATGGACATGGACATTCGTAGTTTCTTTTATTATCAATACATGTGACAGCCATTAAACTGTCCATCACATTAATTTTTCTGCTTCTTCCATCATCTTGATCAATCAATTTTCCATAATTTTTCAATCATCGTGTTGCTGATACGATCGATAAAAGAAATATATGTAGATGTATATATATATATATATATATATATATATTTAATTTTTTTACGACTCTTGCTAACTTCTTATTCCTTTTATTTTTCCTGTGCTTTTAACGCTCATTTATAAAATTGGCGAAGTTGTCAGTGGAAAAATCAACGATAATCGCATTTTTAATGAGAAATTCATTATTCGTAAAATTCCAATCAACTCCAAAGAATAACAAATAAATCAAAAATTAATTTAATAATCACACATGTTATTATGTGTGGCCCAATGTTCATTATGTCTCGTCTCCATGAATTTGATAAGATGAATTATGTACAATTTAATAAAAAGGGTGTTATGTTATGTTATGCGTGAAACGTGACTTGACTCAGCGAACCGTAAATTTCTGTGTACAATTTTTCTGACTTCTTATTTTCAAAAATAATATAAAGATTGCGCGAAAAAATGTGTCAGTCTTCGAATAATTATAATTAAAATTGTTTAAACAAAATATGAATAGGCTTATCGCGTACACTCAAATGGCTCTTTATAAAGATGACATCATCGTAAATAAAAGAGGATCCAAAAATTTCTCAATGAGATTTGTAGGAGGTTTTGAACATTGAAGATTTCACGTTTTTGGAATAGTTTAAAAATTCCATCTACGTCTTAACTTCTGCAGTCTTCTGGAATAAATGTCAAAATCGTATGCCCCGTAAAATTTCCAGCATTTTTCTACATTTCATCCTCATTATCTTTAAGAACGAATCATGAAATTAACATTTTATTGCCGGAAATACTGAGAAGCTTCTTGATTCGCTAGAATACTGATGAATCTGGAATTCTAATGAAGTTTAGATTGTGACTGAAGGATTTGAGCCTTAATTATCATATCCTCAGTTTATTAAGCTCGGAAGATTGAAATCTGATGATATTAGTCTACCTCTAAACTAGGTATTAAGAAGTATGTTTGGTAATGTTCCTGAGGTAGACTTCCTTAGGTCCGAACTCAAGTTCACTGGGTTGTCGTTGCAATGACTTTATCAAACTTAACAAAAAGATTTACGTCCAAAAAAAGATCTGATTTCTGTATTGTACACATCAATTAACCTCACGTACGATGAAAGTTTCTTGTGCTTCTTATCAAAATAAAATTTTACTCTCTTGCATCTGAGCAATAACACACAAAAAAAAATCAAAACAATTTCTTTTTTTTCCCTTTTGTACAAAAAGAAAGAAAGAGACGAAACAAAAAAACAGACGTATATTGTTTTTTTGGCGGGCACATATTACGACATTCTCAAATTATAATTTATATAACATGACACTTTTAATTCTAGCGCAATTTTTTTCTTCAATGTTGAATGCAAAAAAATATAATATACACAAAATACATAAAAAATGATGAATGAGCAAGAAAAAAAAAAGTCAAAGTATTTTTTTTTCTCTTCACTATTGTGACTGTGTGAACTACATAAATATTTTTTATATGCCATATAGCACAACGTGGTTGTTTTAGTTAATTATTTTATATTTCTTTATCAAAACTTCAACACTTTTGAAGACAAGACTTCGTCATTCGACGCAGTGTGATAATTGTTGACGCCAAGTCGCTCATTTTTCTGTGTGTTGCTTTACATTTAATATTCTTATAGTTTTAAGCGGGATTCAGCAGTATGAATGGGGAGTTTATTGCCGGTTTGGATGACTTATGTTAACTTTGACAAGAACTTTAGGATTGTACCTTTTTAAATGATATTGATAAAAATCGTTGCCACCTTATTAATTAAGATGAAAAAAGTTGCAAACTTCTAAAATTGTTGTAGAAAGTTAAATTAAAGAAAAACTTTTCGAAGTGCAAAAAGTCCACCATTTTGAATTTTTCAAATTTTTAACGGAAAATATCGTTATTGTCCGAATCAAAAACATTTCCAACTAGTTTCTCATACTGAATAATAAAAAAGTATTTTTAGATGAGAAAAAAAATCAAAAATTTTAATTTCATATTGTCAATTCAAATAAAAACACGACAATCTACGCTTTACATAATTTTTGATTATTGGGAATCTTTTCTGATAACGAGCCGAACATTTTGTGTCTCGTCTTCACATCAACCAGCTTTTTTCGTGTGCAATAAAATATATCGATGAAGATTGATTGGTAAAGACCTTAAAAGTTGATTGAAAACATTGAAAAAATAATGAAAAAAACATTGACAATTTAATGCAATTTTTTGGACGTCACATCATGCAATGTAATGACTAATAAGATTTAAGTTGTTTTTCTTCTAACATTTATTTTTAAAATAATAGAAGGAAATGATTGGAAATTAATGCACAATTTTTAATTAATTACCCCAAAAGGGTAAACAATTTTTCTTAATTTATTACTAAAATAATAACAGAACTAAAGTTTATTGTTCAATTAATGCAATAAAAATATATACTCGGGCTGAAAATGCTCGACCTATTATGACATGAGGACATTTAAGTTTATTGCTCCTCGTTATGCATGAGCTGGATTTAAATTAATCTAGATTTTTTTATTTTATGCGATTTTTTTGGGAAGAAGTTCGTAATGATTGACTGAATTTTGAGTTGATTAAGAAGCTTTTTTGCGACTTTGAATTTATATATTACTTGACAAATTGTCTTAAATAATATTCTGGGTGGCAATACGTCTCCAGTCAAAAATAATAAAGTTAAAGCTTGAATGGTTCCCATAAGCAAGACCAATCCATTAATAAATTGCAACTTTCATCCATACACTCGGATGATTATCAAAAATAATTCATGAAAGGTCTTTAATTACATGAGAAACTTTTTCCGACCGTACTTACTCGAGAAATATGCAAGAGAAATTTTTGACTGAAAATTTAATTAATTACCTTAATAATACATTTTATTATGGAAATATTAATCGTGTGAGTTGAGACTAGAAGGTCATATGAAGTGTATTAAGGCACAGATATACTTGCATGCACGATTTTATGGTTATTTCATTTTCATAACAATATTATTGAGGATTATCATCATAAATGATATAATTTTTTTTGATTAAAAATTGGCTATATCCATAAATGATGCCTGTAAGACTTCAACGACGTATCCCAAGTCGCGAAATATTACACAACACAACCGAATTCTCCCCATATGATTAATTTAAAAATTTCTAGTTCCATGACATAATATGGTTCATTTTAATAATTATACAGCAGTTTCGATGATGTCCAATCATTTTTTTTCCAAAGAAAAAATTAAAATTCATGGAAGTCCGTCAGCGAATTATCGGCTTATTAGAGAAATCTTTCAATGAAAACAACCTTCTTTTATGTCAAGATTGACAGCAAGATTAATGACGATTATTTTGATATTAGCGATCAATTAAAGGAAAAAATTCTAAGAAACATTTTATGATCTTTTTAGGGTTACTTTTGTATTAGGCGCTGTTAAAGTTAAGCCATAAAAAATTAATTTAATACCAATAATTTTTCATTCCTTGCATCACCCAGGAAAGCTAGCAAGAAAAACATAAATTATAAGTTTGTAATTAAATAACTCTTTTTATTTTTCTTCGTAAAGTCTCTAATGAAACAT